CCCCCCCCCCCCCCGCAAAAAAAAAAAAAAACAAGTGAATAATGGACATCCGCGTCTCAAAAACGCGACTAACGATCCCATCTAATTTACTGATACACCAGTGTCTAGATAAAAGAGTGAGGTTTATTAGCGTAGCGTCATGTCGACATAAGGCCCCATGTCAACCACCCGGGCGAGCAACGTCTCGGAGGATACCCAATGAAGCTCGATGGGAGGAGGGCTCCCATCTCTGGTTGCCGCCCTCGGCCATCGAGGCGTCCAGACGCCCGAGCCCGAGGATGGCGCTGATGCAAGCCCTTTTAAAGAGCCCCCGTAGCCACGTGCCTAGCGCGTCCTGACGCCGCTCCGTTACGCAACGCATCGCAACGCAACGACGAAACGAGACGCGACGCGATGCTGTGCGACGCGACTCGGCGCAGCGCCTCGCCCGGACGCCACGGGTCCACGCACGCCTTTAGACGCGGGGCCCTTCCTCGCGATCGACTCGCCAAAATGATCCGGCTCGGGACTCGACGTTGGGCCCCTACTTACCGTAGTCGATGTTCGGGTGTACCGAGGCGATCTTCAAGTACTCGCGGAAGTTGTCCACAGCTGTTGCGTCCAGCTGAGCCGCCGTGGGTCGTGCCATGGTGACTGCACTCTTCCAATTATCGAAGTAATCGTCGCGTCGGTCGTTGCGGAACTACTGCGGGAACGTTGCGCCGTCCGCGCCTCACATATACGGCGCGCAAGCGAGCTCGCGTATTAACACAGGCGCGTAAATATGTGTTTGCGAGCGCGCGCGTATACGTATAAACTCGAGCCTACGTGTGTTCACGTATGCACGTATAATAATGCACGTACGAATATATAGGCTGGCGCGCGGCGTCTGCGCGCGAGGAGCGTCCGCCGCGACGTCGGGACGGTCGTTGCTACGGAGAAGGAGCGCGGGGAGCGCCAGAGGGGAGCCAAAGTGCGTGACGTCGGCCCCGGGCTAGCAGAAGCCGGGGAACGGTTGCCGAGCGGCCGGGACTGGCCAATCGAGACTGGCTATTCGAATCCGCGACCCCGGGGGAACGCGCCACGCGCCCACAGCTGATAGCCGTGGCTTCTCGGAGGTGCCACACGGTGCCGCGATCGAGAAATTGAGACGAGGGGGTCCCAAGGCGGCCACCACCTAAGCTCACCTTACTACTTACTACTTGCTACTTACTGCTACTATCGGTTTTATCACGTTTACCTATTAAACGACATTATTTATTAACGGCAGGGTTATTGTCATTATTATCATTGGCGTATGCAGCACTTGTATTCCTTTATATGTCTCTTCTTCTCATTCTTCTCGTTATCTTTTTTTATTTCCATAGAAAAAGTACTGCTACAACGCCTTCCCGCTTCCTCGTGGAATTACAAAATTGTATTCACCGTACGAGCGAACGAATGAAAGTCCTCTTACATATCTGTAGAATGAGAAGAGGATAGATAAGAAATAAATTCCTCGCCTTAATGTGGGCAACGTAGAAGGAAACGTGCCTTTTGAGGTTAAAAATGCATTGTCTAGTTAATTTCAATTTCGCCTTCACATGACCAAACGAACAAAAGATCCAATCATAATCGATGATTATGGCCAAAGCATTTTTTAACAATTTACAAACTTTGTCAAAGCTTCGTGGAGCCACTCAACAATTTTGTTGCTCACTACGTGATATTTTTGACTATTTTTGTAAAAAAATGAACTTCTGATTTACACGTATGTTTATTCATCGAACTGTCGCATCCATAAAAATACTAAACATTCTCTTTATATATATATATATATATATATATATATATATATATATATATATAGCTCTATTACTTAAAACTTGTTGAATAATTATATTAAAATATAGCAAGACTACTTTAATTAACGAAAAATTACTCTACCGAAGTTTTTTGGCATAACTTGAAACAACAACTGTTTGCAGGATGTTTGGCCTTTAATCGAGACTATAATTGAATAACTTAAAAATTAAAAGATTCATCAAATAGACACTAATAAAAATATGAGAAATAATTAAAATCGGTCGATTAATAAAATAGTATCATAAAATAAAAAATATAATAATTAATAATATAATAATAATAATAATAATAATAATAATAATAATAATAATAATAATAAAGAATTCGATGATATTTACAAATATTAGATAAATGCAATATCCATTAAATAATAGGAGTAAAGTAGCAGGCAAAAGCTAGTTAATTCATATTCAAAATTATTATCATTCTTTGCTCATTAAAGAAATTCATGCCACAAATAAATGATTTCTATGCTTTCAAAAACATAAGTAATATAAAACTTTAAATACGGAACTTATTATTTGCTTATTTTCAACCATAAATCTTTAATAAGACTCACATTATCGCTCGTCTACTCTATTTAGTACTATACTTCTATGCTATGTACGCAAAAGTATAAAAATCAACTCATTTATTGGTACTATAATTCTTATCTAATATTGTCTTGCATTATATACATTATATACATTATATACATTATATACAATACATTAAACAAAAATATTATTATATGAACAACTTGTCTTAAAAGTAAAATGCATTAAACATATTCTGATGAAATTAAAAAATAAATTATATATTTTTTATTTTTTGTTGATTTACAGAAATTGAATGATAATAATAGTTATATTATACTTCGATGATAAGCGAATATCATGAATCATTATTTTTATAATTTAATATAGAAATCTATAAATAAGTTTTCACATTATTATACCTATACGAAATATTATAATTGATTATAATATAATTTATGTCAAAATAGACTTTTTTATGCAACCCAATTATATTTAATATGTTTATAACTATAAAAATTTATGTAAAATAGAATATTTTATTTGAACCTTTACTTAAAAATTGACGTAATAATCATTACTAATAAATTGAACTGCCTGTTATATAATCCATTTAAAAAAAAAAAATTAATTACATTACAGTTGTTATGAAATTTACAAAAATTAGCCTAATTGTATGAATAAAATATTAGAGAGGTAATTAATTAGTGAATGTGTTTTATGATTCTTTTTGTAATTAATTATTATTTTACCTTCTCTGAATTAACATCCTTTTTTTATTTTACAATTCTTATCTGTTACTTGAAGATAATAAATTCTTAAACACGTCGTAATGGAGAGATTACAAACGATTATTTTTAAAATCAAATGTATTGTTTTAAAGTGAAACAATAATATGAAAAAATTTTATAAAACTTGAATTGAAATCTAATACTATTATTTCCATCCTATAAAAAAAAAAAAAAAAAAAAAAAAAAAAAAAAAAAAGATACTTATCAAAATTTACATGTAATTAAATTTTGAATTGTAATATCAAAAAAGCAAACAACTCGTTGTAAATTTCAAAATATGATGGGAATAATTCAACAAGTGAAAGTTTAAGTTGCTAAAATCTTAAGAATAGATTTTTATTTTAAAAAAAGGCTTAGTTAATGTAGTATAAATACAATAGTTCGAATAAATTTATTAATAATTATTTATTCACCACATCTTATGAATTTATGGCCAAATACTATTGAAAAATTACTAATGATAGATTTTATGATGAATTTTATCCCATAATTCAAATTTAAAATTTTATACGATATAACTTATTCAGGCATATTAATTATAAATACATGTAAATTATAATGTATCTTTAAATAAATTTTATAAAAAAACATGTACAAATATAAATTAAAAAGTACATATTGACAGATGATATCAGTGCCTACAAATATATTAACAAACAATCAACTTAAGTTACTGTAAAACTATTTATTTTTATATTTGATTTTTTTCTTTAGTTATCTTTCTCTAATTTACTAGCTAGACGAATTAAAAAGTCTGATTTTAAAATGTTTTAATAGTAGTATTTAACATTTATTAAAAAAATTATATTAAAATTCGTAATAATGTCAGTTTATAAAGCATCGTAATCATTGTGCATCTAATTGCCCACTTATTGTTTTTATGAATTAATCCATTATATTCCATATTACTAATATTTTACGTTTTAATATTTGATAAAATATTAATCATAAGAATGTATTAAAGCTTGTACTTAAGTATTTTTCATTAAAAAGAAAAGTTTTTTCATGATGCTATTAGTATTAAAATTTTAGCATTTAAAATCTTAAAATATTTCTTAAAAAAAAAAACATTTATTTTTTTTAATATTCTTACATATCATCTATCTTATCTTTATTTATATTCTACATAGTATTTTGTTTGAAAGCAACGTATTCAATTTTTAATTTATATATTTACTAAGAAAAATTAAAAAATATAGATTTATTCATTTATTATTTTCTTTTGCCATGATTGCTTTTAGTTAATAAATTGTTTACTTAGAAGGAACGTGACAACAAATTATATTTATCTATTATTGCAAATATAGATTATACTATTTGTTGTTTTAATATTGTTATAAATATCTCATTTGAAATATCAGAATAACTGGATTTGCTTTGCAATTTCAATAGAGCCAGGAGGGGAGGGGTGAATTATTATTATTTGCATACTAAGTGTTGTGCTTCTATTATTTATAAAAATACGTAATCATTAACACAGAACTGTTTTACCAGACTATATATAAATTAATTCAGTGTGAATATTATGAATTCGAATATTATCAATATTTCAAGTTGTTCTTATCCAAAGGATTAAGATTCCTAATTCTTAGAATATATATCATTTAAACATTATTGCAATAATGGATGCCTAGCTAATAACAGAGTAAGATATTTTATAGATAGAGATATACTCGCTTATGAGAAATTTCATTTACAGCATATAAATTGAAGGTTCTATTTCTAGGGTGTAATAAATATACAACAAATGTTTTCTTGTAAATTACGATATAATAATAAAATTAAAATATAACTGTGATATTATTTTATTTTATTGATTTACAACATAATATTAATTCCAGAAAAATTTAATGTATAAATTTCGTTAATATTTATAATTAATAGAATTTCATTAAATCGGTAATTATAGTTGAAGAAAACCAAGAGAATAACTTTATTGATTATTTTGTTCTTATAAGGTGAAACTCCAAACAAAAGAAAATTTTGGCACGAATATTTTAATTGCATTATTAAATAGAATACCTGTACGGACAAGTTTTTATTAAGACAGGAGTCTTTCGAACTATAAAATGGACATAAAGTATTTGCTGACAATGAATGTATTGTCTATTGTATTTACCAATATATTAAGCATTCAAATAACATCCAAGGCAATGCCTATTATTATATCGATCTACCTGTGATGAATAAAATACAAGGACCAGGCATAACCATCAATGGTCAATTTATCATAAATGCCATTACAAATTTATAAAAATGCGAACCTTGTTTCTATGAAATGCTATGCTGCTAATCCCAAGAAAATTGACCACATTTGCATATACAACTTTTAAATTAAATATGCTATTTAAAAAAATTTTTTTTTGCTTTCAACAAAGATTGGCGGGTCGACTGTGTACATTAGTCTGTACATTAGTGAATAACTGTATGTGAGTAAACGCTTACGAAGGTTCATATGCGCGAGTGTGTAAGAGAAAGAGGAAATAGAGAGAGAGAGAAAGTGATAGAAAAGGTAGAGAGAGAGAGAGAGAGAGAGTAAATGATAGAAGAGTGAGAGAGTGTGTACGAGCACTCGAAAGGGGCAAGGAGGGAAAGAAGGGAACGAAAAAGTGTGGTCGTATTTGCTAGGAATTTTAGTTCCGTTATGACTGGATAGAGGGGTCGAGCGTCATTTTCTTCAGCACTAAAGGGAAGTTGTTTATAAGTTTCTTTGCCCACAGTAGCACTG